AAAAAAAAAAAAAAAAAAGAAAAAAGGAAAAAGGATATTTAGTATTTACTGCAATATTTCAGCCCAAGGTGAAGGTTTTTATAGGATCCTTGCCAACCTAAGAGAGACTAGGGAAAGGTGAAACTTTGCCATTAGGTATTAATATTACTTACAGCAGGGAAAGATGAAACCCTTCCTGTCAGTAAGAGTAGAAGATATTTCTTTTCAAGGGACTGTTCTTTCACTAATATCTTTATTTCTGATCAACTAATATGTTCCAGAGGTAGACATTAGAATAGCAAATAAGAATCCGGTTTCCTCTTCTCACAGCTTCCAGCTTAGTGGTGAGTGATAGAACAGTGACTGCTGCTTTAATTAGCTTTAGAGTCTGTGAGCAAAGAGTCAACAAAACCTGTTTTTTTTTGAGACAAGGTCTCGCTCTGTCACCCAGGCTGGAGTGCTGTGGTATGATCATAGCTCACTACAGTCTTGACCTCCTGGGCTCAAGTGATCCTCCCACCTGTCTCCTGAGTAGCTAGGACTACATCTGCATGCCACTATGCCTGGCTAATTAAATTTTTTTTTTTTTGTGGAGATGGAGTCTTGCTGTGTTGCTCAGGCTGGTCTTAAACTCCTAGTCTCAAGTGATCCTCTTGCCTTAGCCTCCCAAAGTGCAGGGATTATAGGTGTGAGCCCATGCCTGGCCAAAACCTTCAGTTGAGAATTTGGCCCTCAGTTGATTTTCGAGCTCTGATCCCCTAATGACCTGACAAATATCGAAAGCCTGTTATGTTATTTGGCAATACTGCTTACATAAGAATGATGCTTGATGTTAAACTGCATCTGAACTGGGAGAATTGTAAATATGTGTTAAGAAGCCATAGCTTTGGGCTTCCCTGAGTGTAGTGACCCATGTATTTGGTCATATTTTTTATGAGATCTCTGCAGGTAATGTATATGGGGTTCTTATAGGAGATTTTAGTTCCTGGTGGACCTGTGGGGTTTCTAAGCCAGGTCAGCTCTCAACTGACAGGAGACCAAACAGAATAGGTCCTAGGTGGCTATGTGGACACCTACATAGATACGACAAGTACTACTGCCACAACAGGGGGAAGGCTGATAATGCCCTTGCAGGCAAGCTGTGCTTCCTGCCTTAGGTCCTACTGAGTAGACTGGTGCCAGATGAGAGCTGTGGTAATCTTGTAAGTCTGCATGGTTAGTTGAATTTAAAAAGACCACATCCTCATCCAGTGGGCATTGCAGTTAACAGTCCTTCACTTCAATGTCCCTCAGGATGAGAAATATCCAAGTTCTGACCAATAATCCCCAAACTTTTAACTCTGAATTTTTTTCTGTGTAAAACACCTAGAAGGTGGCTTTCCAGCTCTGGATACCCTTGGCTATGAGCAGTAGACAAGTTATATATTTAGATATTATGCTAACTTAATATTTGCTTTGCCTGTTTCTACAAATACGTGTCTTTGATTCTGAGGTAGAACTCTTGGGGTACCTGCCCTCTTGACATAAGTTACTAAATCCTTGAATAGGTAATCACTTCAAAATGTATTTCTTCAGTTTTTCTGTATTTTCTTCCTCCCTTTCCAGTTTTAATTTGTCACCTCTTGTACCTTTATTTTTATTCTCTTTTTCAGCGTCATTTATGTTCATTTCTTTTCTTTACTCTCTTATGTGCCAATTCACTTACTCTTTCTCCTTCGATTGTTTTCTTTCTACTTTTTTTCTTTTTAAATTTTATTCTATTTATCTCTCTTTAACCTGCATCTTCATTCTTTATCTGTTACTATTTGTGTTACTCATTCTCTTACTTTATCTCCCCTAGGCCTTTACTATCCTTCAATCTCAACATTAGAAGTTCATTTTATTCATTGTTAATAACCTATTATAACACCCAAAAATGAAAGCGGAAAGAATGAATAGTAAAACTTCAGTCTTAATTTTATTAACTAAACTATCCTCTTACTTTTTCTTGAGAAATGACTCCTGACCCTCAGTTTCCTTATCTCTAAATACGGGGACAATAACTGTCTTACCCATTGCCATTTGAATGTTGTTCAGATGCAACAATGTAATGTACATGAGCATTAGAAAAACATTAGGAAGACATTATAGGGCTCACTCAAAGAATGTGACTAGGTTGCTAAAAGTTGCTGAAAATAGAGCCTAACTCTGGTGAGAACTTTTCAGGGAAATTAAAAAGGAAATGAAACTTAGAATTTGCATTATTTTACAAAGTGAAGATAATCTAATAAGGGAAAAATTATTTGCGTGGAAAGCAAAGCAGGAAGTTGAGGTGCTGGGTTCTAAGTCTTTATTAAGTATTGGCTCTACAGAGCTACATTATAGCTGAAGTGGAAACAGCTTAGGAAGGACCATCTCTAGGGGGATTTTTTTTACTTTGCATTTCAGCTTCATAGCTCATATCTTCTTATTGCAGAACCTGGATGAGTTCAATGTGAAAGAGTACTGGGTGGGATTATGAGGCAGCAGAAACACTTGACCATTGAGTCCTTGGGCATGAGTCATCGAAATAAAAATAGATTGATGTTCTAAGTATTGTAAAGTACCAAAAGGCATTATAATTGAAAATCAGATGACTTACCAATGGTTTTTTGAGAGAGCTCTAAAAAAAAAAAAGAGAGAGAGAGAGAGAAATCAGTAGCTATATGTATTTTTTAATATATACTTTTTATTTATATACTTTCATTTATATAGTTCCGCCAGTAGGAATCTGCATCCTAATCTCAAGTTCAGCTGCAGTTGAGTAGTAGAAATGGTGACTTTCCTGCTATGGCAAACTAGTACATATCAGGGCCTCCTCATTTAAACATCCCTTGTGTGATGCTGAGAAGCCATTGGAAATCTACAAGGGTTAATCCCCCACTTTGTAGTTTCTGTTTATTAGTGATGTGTACATTCACAGTTATTCATGACTTACTGAAATGCTAGGTAGAAGACAAATAAGAGGTTGAAGAAAATGTGAACTCCAAACCCTTGAAATCCCAACATGGAAACCAGGTAGCGATCCCTAAGATACTGAAGGAAAGAAAAATGCTCACTGGATAATCAGATGGCAAACTTACTGATAGGTCCTGTAGCTCTAGCTGTGAGAGAGAGAGAGAGAAAAAGAAAAAGATCTCAGTATACTTCACCACTGTGAAGGAAATCCCCATTTCCCAACACCCGCTCTAGGGAGTATCATAGATAGAAACTCTGGGAAGATCAAGAGTTGCTTGTATGGCGAGCCTCAGGCGGGCTCCCTGATGCACAGCATAAGGGACCTACAGGAAAAGAGGCCTCCTCCTGCTTTCAGTGAGGGTTGAAACTCTTCAGAGGGTTGGGAAAGACTCACTCCATATTAATCTGTTATGCTTCTATTCCTCTTCTTACATTTTCTTGCCCCTTGCCCTCAATTTCCTTAGAGAAATGGTTTATTTGAAAAGCGTACCTTCTGTTGCTGATGGATCATTATGACTATTACTAAGAGGGCTGTTTTGGTTGATATTTTTAAACATTAGCCTGTGAGATTTCTTAATACTTCATGCATGGCCTCTTTGCAAACTATGTAATAGGAATGCTGGAGGAGTCAAGAAAGACAGTGTTAAGAAAGCATGTCACCCCTAAACCTCAGTGTCACACAATATACCCATTAGCAAGCCTGCATATGTACTCTCTGAATCTAAAATAAAAGTTGAAATTATTTAAAAAAATGCAGGGCAGATCAGGCACCAGGATCTTGTAGGTCAGACATCGAAGGGACCAGAGTGGAAAAACAAACTTGATACTTACGAATAGGGGCTGCGAATTGCACTGAAATACAAAAGGGAGGAAAGTGTGGTTTGACATTGACAGAATTTCCATTTTACCAGTATTGTTTTTAAAGATACTATGGAGTAATTCAACTAGAGGGAGAAGAACTACTGTGGATCTGCAGATAATCTTAGCCTGGCGGCCCCATAACCCTCCAACCAGATTAAATCATTCAGCATCCATCTTAAATGAGAAATTTAAGTAATTAAAAAATAATAAATATAAATAATAAAAATAAAATAAAAATTTAAGTATGAATTATTTGACTTTCCCTTGTCCTAAACTCAGTGACAGTTCAGGACATTGTGTCTGATGTCTTGGGCATCAGAAGGTGTCAGAAGATTTGAATATAATTAAGAAGTATGAGTGAGAAATCCTGCATGGGTGGAAATGGCAACAGTTAGGATGTGGAGAGGACCCCATATCTCACAGAAGGCCGAAGAACATCAGAGGAAACAGAAAAGGAACCACTTATAGGTCCAATAGTTCCAGCTAAAATATAGGAAAAACAAAATAGAACTAATGAGGAAGTACTGTTTGCATTAAAATTCTTTCTGGGAAACCATCACAAATGTAGACACCAGGAGCAAAATTTCCACTTCAATGAAGGAACAAGTAAAGTTTATAAATGCTTCCTTCTTCACCTGGGAGGACCCCGTTACCGCTGGGATCTGCCAGCTGGAGCTGTAGGATGCACGTTTAGTCAGGCAGGGTTCCTTTCCCTTCCCTGGCAGGTGTCCTGCTTGTGTCTCAGAGATTACACAGGCCATTGCCTGTCTTCCAGCTGGCTAATTTAAAGTTGCTTAGCTAGAATCTATAGCCTCATCTTCTGATGGAGACAGTGGGAATTCCTGTCTCTGTAGTGATTTTGGACCTTATTCAACAGAGTAACTTGGCCTGCCATATATTAATATAAGATGGAATAGAAACTGTTAGGTAGGCTTAAGGCATTTATAGGTATGAGTTGTGGGCAAAACAATTAAGTTACTAGACCCACACACTTGTTAATAATGCAGTAACAGTCTTCTTCTTTATGACCCCCCCCAACACACACACACTGCACCACACCTCTCTATACCTCATAGACTATAAGTGATCCTCTCACCTTGGCCTCTCCAAGTGTTGGGATTACATGTATAAGCCACTGTGCCTGGCCTGGTATGTGCTTTTATGATACCTACCCAGTATCTGCTCTCAAAGTTTGACTTGATTATTTTAATAATGTTTCATTTGTATAAATACTCCGAGAGGAGTAGACACAGGCTGTGATATATTGTGAGCTTTAATTCTCAAATCATTTTTTTCTCTTCTCTTCAAAGTTAGTCCTGCCTCTGGGGCTCAAGCTCTGAACTTCCCCAAAAAGGAAGGATGGAAATGTGTTAAGAAGTGAATTAAACCCTGATGAGTTTCACCTTTCTTGTCTTTGGCTTTAGGGTCACACTTGGTGTGGGGAATCTGCAGGGATGGGAAAGCTGGTTAAACTTGGACCAAGTGCTCTCATCTTTTTATTTCCTTTCTTAGGGCAGAGAATTAACATCCTGTAGAGCAATGGTTCTTAAACTTTTCTGTGCACACAAATCACCTGGGGATCTTGTTAAAATGCAAAGTCTGATTTAGTAGGTCAGGGGTGGCCAATAGGCTGAGATTCTGCATCTCTAAAACTCCAAGGTGATGTTGATGCAGGCCCTTGGACCCACTGTAAGCATCAAGGCCATAAAGGGCTGGAAAAATCTCAGATCAAATAAAAGTCATTGTTTCCATTTACTATTTTTTTCCTTTCCTTTTTTTTTTTGAAGACCGTATGCTTTAATTTTAAAATAATCACATATGAACCAAAAACACTATTTCTACCTTTTCTCCTTCATTTCTGGTAAGAGACTGAATCCAGATTTAGATTATAGCTTAGGTTAATTTTTAACTCAACAATGTTTATTAGAAAGCAACTGTTTTAATTTTTTTTCAAGGGAACAGCAGAATGACAAACATTTTGCCAAAAGGTGAATTATCTTTGAAGTTCTGAATGTTTGAACCAGATTTGGATCATATTGATGATGGTCCCTTGTGATAAGCTTGTTTCTTTTAGATAATCTTCAACCTAAAATTACTAATTACTGAAAAATCAGATTAATGTATTATTTTTATAATAAAACAGCAAGGTAAAAGTCTGGAATATATGGAGCGTCACTTGTGCACCATGTAATAATGAATATTTAGAAACAAATTCAACACTGAAACACTTAAAGGAAATTTCAGGGGATATCTCCCCAATTACATATACAAGGAAGCACTGGTCAGATTCATTTTAAGTAGTCATAAATAATTTCAAACGTTTATTAAAACACATAAATATTAATAGAAAGTCAACATTTTCTTAGACCTCTTCAGCTGATTGTTTATTTTTCTATAACCTATATATGGATGTTTTCCCCCCTCTTGAGATAATGTTCTAAATATAAACAAGCTACCTGATGTAAATTTGCGTGATTTATTTAAACAAATGTGTAATTTTGAGTACAGAATTCAACTGTTACCTCCAAAAAAGAAACCTTTTTAATAGAATTTAACAGAAGTTGTGAAACTAGAATTTTTCCCTCTAAGATTAACTGGAAATTCATTGTAAATCAACCTAATTAACAGAATTTATTACTCCACTCTGGAAAATGCTGTCAGATAACTAAGGAATATATATGGAATAAATGTACATATGTAAAATATGGTTACTAGAGTTAGAAATGTGCCAAAGTCCATTTATCCCAAATCCTGTCTGTAAAGAAGAGGAGGGGTACATTGGTAAACATTTTAGAGTGCTTAAAAATGCCAAAAACAAAATGGTAATTTCTACTTGGATAAAGTTAAAAAAGTTAAATGTCTGTAAAAAAGTGTCCTGTGTTCTTCTACTCCAGCATGGTCTCATTTAAAGTAAGAAAGCCCTAAAATACTGTTGCAGAGAAAATATTAACTAGGTTGTTACCTTATTAGCCTAAATATTTTTTTCCATTTTGTTAGATTTTGCCTTTCTTTTGGAAGGAAGGAAGGAGAATATTCAGGATTATAAAAATGAATTGGGAACATTTTTTTTCCTTTCTAAATCAACTTCCTCTCATGTATCCTTTACTCTCTATTCCCAACCAGTGCTTCTTCCAGAGATGTATGCCATAATTTCATTTAAAATTTTATCTAGATAGTTCTTTCAGATTTATTCTTTGTTCATAGCAGGGGATATACATATCACACAAACATCAGTGACAGTCTGAGGACCCTTGGTCGGTGAGCTGGGACTCACTGCATGTCACTGAAGTTTTCTTGGTGGGTGTTAAGTGGAATGGCCACCATCAAGCCTCTTTCTTTGAGCGTTACTGGGTTTTCTCACAGGGGGAATCTTTCTTCCTTTCACTTGACCATTTTTTGTTCTTACCTCTCTTCCCCTTTGTTGTTGAATCTTAAGATTTTGGAAAAGTTAAAGGTAATAGCACTTTCTTACAGAGGCACCCCAGTTTATTAAGATAGGAATAGGGAGTAAAGAAGGGGAAAAGAATAGACAATTTGCAAAGGAAATAAAAAAATCTAGGAATATGAATGTCTTACATAGTCTAACAGTGTAGTAAAGCAAAGCACATGATAATTAAAGGGCAGAAAAAGAACTTACTAACAGGTCCTGCAGTTCTGGCTAAAATACAAACAAAAATGGTGAGTTTGGAGAGAGCACAACTCAAGGATGTTTATCTCAGGGAGTTTCAGATCAAGCATTTACGACATATTTGATTTACATGGAAAGGCAGCAAAAAGGATAGCAGGCATTTTCCTTTTTTCCTTAGGAGATTGTTAAAATCATACTCTCTGCAGTTATTTTTCTTATTCTTATTTTTTACTGTCTTCCTGCTTAAATCCTTCTAAAAGTTATAGACAACTTTCCCCGGCCCCAGAATCTTTTTCACATTTTTATTAATTATTCTGGTTTGTATTATCAGAGTTTCCACTTTGCTAAATGAAAAAAGTAATCAGCCACTTAGAGGATCTTGAAATCAGCCTCACATTCCTCACACTGGTAAAAGAAAGAACAGTAAAATTGCAAGTTTTTCTCCTGTCCTCCATCTTTATGTGCCTTCTCCTCCCCACACACCCCATTCCTCTGGTAGCAGGCACATTGTAGAAGATAAAAATCATTACACATGGTATGCACGTATCAAAATATCACATGTATCCCATAAATTTGTACAATTATTATGTGTCAGTAAAAAATAAACTGATTTGTAAATATGGCAAACTTACACAGAGGTTCTTCAGTTGCTTTTATACATTGAATACTACCTATAATAAAAATGGAAAAGAATAATATTACTTAGATTTAGACCTCCAGAGGGCACAGAGATAGACAATCTCATTCCCTCCTCCCCCTCCCCAAGTGTGGTACAAACAGTCTAAGGTTAAAGACCTGAGTCCCAGTTTTGCTATTCTCTAGCTCTGTGATTTTGGGGAAGTCACTACATGTTTTGAACATTAATTTTCTCATCTCTAAAACAGAAGTTGTATCCCCTGTCTAACTTATATTGTGAAGTTGCAGTGAAAAATCAGGAGTAATAACAGAAGGGAAAGCTGAAAAGTTGGATTAGAAATATTATGGAAAGAAATATTCAGTAACTATAAACGAATGAAATACTTCAGCAAAGTAGTAAGCTAATTTATTTTCCTTTATTCTGCTTTAATTTTTCCTCTTATTTCTGACTGTCATTTGGTAAGTTCTGAGTCTTGAACAACAGAACATTATAATTTGCACTTAATTGTTTTTATTTTTTACTTATTAATCTGTTATTTTAACCTTTAAAATAACCCTATTTTCTTGTGTACCTTAGTACTTAATTACATCCTTTTAATCTCTGTTGCTTCTGTCTTGAGAAATAACTGATCATATTTTAAGATGTTGAAAATTTTGCAGTTATTTTTCTCTTAAAATAATTGAATAATTTGTTTCCTTCTTTGTATGTAATTGTTTTTGCTTATCTGCTACTTTGCTGTTTTGGGGAAGGAAATAGTAGCTTTCCCCAGAAATGACAGGATCTACTCTCAGCATTTGGGAAGAGATGTCAGTTTTTCTGTGAGGTATTTTAGGCTGTCAGTCACTGAATTGTCAGTTTCTCGAGAACGTGAAACCACTCTCACCACCAAATAAAGATAATTTTAAAAGGACAGCTTTCATATACCTAATATTTTTAAAGATTTATGATATTAACCTGTATTCAGAATGACAAGTATATTTGAATTATGCATATTTAATTTTGATCAATTGGTAATGACTGTCTGGAGATGAAAAGAATTTTAGGATACATGTGGACTGAGCAGGAAAGAGAACCATGATCAATTACTGATGTCTGCCATGGGCCAAGGCATGAGCAGAAATGAAACACAGGTCATATATATATTCCATTCCTGACCTAAAGTAATAGGCAATAATGAGGAGAAAGGAAATTCTTTTTTTTTTAGACAGAATCGCTCTCTGTCACCCAGGCTGGAGTACAGTGGCACAATCTTGGATCACCGCAAACTTCACCTCCTGGGTTCAAGTCATTCTTGTTCCTCAGCCTCCCGAGTAGCTAGGATTACAGGCATGCAACACCATACCGGGCTAATTTTTGTATTTTTAGTAGAGATGGGGTTTCACCACGTTGGCCAGGCTGGTCTCACACTCCTGACCTCAAGTGATTCTCCTGCCTCGGACTCCCAAAGTGCTGGGATTACAGGTGTGAGCCACCGCACTGGGCCAAGAAAGGAAATTCTTGAACTGAGTATTTTGTGGTCTTTCCCAGTTGAAGGCAAATAAGCAGGGCAGCGAAAGGTATTTACTTGTTGTCTTACAGAGTAAAGGAGCAGATAAAAAAAACTTACACACTCTCTCTCTCTCTATATATATACACATATATATATAATATATAATATATACATATACATAATGTATATTATATATATTTTACTAAACTTACTCATGGATCCTTGAGGTAATATCTATATATCTATATATATTATATCTCTATCTATATATTATATATATATTATATCTCTCTATATATAGCTATTACCTCAAGGATCCATGTGTCTAAACTTACTGATGGATCCTTGAGGTAATAACTATATATATATAAAATATATTATAATAATTATATATATAATATATTATAACATATTATATATTATATATATAATTATATATAAATATATATAATATATATAAATTTATATATAATATATATAAATATATATATATTATATATATAATATATTATAACATATTATATATTATATATAATTATTATATATATAATTATATGTTATAATATATTATATATATAATTATTAGAACATATATATTATAAATATAATATATATATTTATAAATATTATAATAATTATAATATAATAAATATTATATATAATATATATAATAATTATAAATATTTATATATAATATAATATATAATATATAATTATTATATATTATATATAATATATTATATAATATATAATATGTTATAATAATTATATATATAATATATTATATATATTTATATATGTAATATAATATGGAACTGCATTTGACTAAACTTACTAATGGATCCTTGAGGTAATATCTATCTATATATTATATATATATTATATATATATAATATATATAATTATGAGTAAGTTTAGTTAAATGCAGTTCCCAAAGATGGTGAGAATTATCAAACTTTGCATAGTCATTTAACAGCTAATGTAAGACAAATAAGACTAATGTCCATCCTTTCTCCACTGAATATAGGGAGAGTTCATTCTATGGTAGCTTGCACAATTTACTGTCAAAGTTAAAAAAACTTACTCATGGATCCTTGAGGTAAATATATATATATATCCTGCCAAAATATTGAATATTGTATGTTTTGGATTAAAGACACTGTCTCTGTGGATATTCTTCTTAATGGGAACGTCAGAGTTAGTTCTTTTAGCAAGTACCACATTTTCTATACAAGACAGAATTCCTGATTATCTTTGTGGGGATCACAAACTCAGTGTCATGAAGGGGCCCAGCAGGTCTCATGATTCTGAATCTCCTAGTTATAAGGGTTAGAGATGGTGAAAAATCCGTATCTACCCAGAAGCATTCAATTCGAAATTTAAAATAATGCTGTGCTGGCCAAACAAAGCACATCTACAGGTGGCACTGGGCCAGTGGTGGCTAATGTGGGACCTCTATTTTCAGATAGGAAGAGACGAGTTAAGTGAGCACCATCTATACTTCAACAGCAGTGCAGTTTGAGGTCAGCATCATGCAGGTTGTGGCCTGAGTTGGGATAGGGTAAGTGAATCCCTTTCTTTTCATTATTTTAAGGACAGGTATTGGTTGGATCACATTTAATTAAAACCTGTGAGTGATAAACTTGTTCAGATTGTGAAGCATCTGGATGTTTTGATACCTTTTAGAAAAAATAATGAAATATGATATATTTAAGATATATTTAATTCCATCTTTGAACAAGAAACAACTTTGCTAGTAGGAAATGTAACCATAAATCTAGCAGTCAATATGAAAAATTTTGTAGCAAAAGCACATACCTCAGAAAAAAACCCTGTCCAGCCAGGGTTATCTGTTTTGGATTTTGTGTTGAGTTCCTCACTTCTCTGTTCCTCATTCCTGTCACAATCTTCCCTTCATTTAGAAAATGTGCTCATTTTTTTTTTTTGGACAATCAATTGAAATCAGTTCCAAAAGGTTTTTTTAAACTTTATCTATTTGATTTTCCTCCCTTCTCCATTTTTTCCAGCTTCCCTTACTTTTCTGTTCTGTATTTTTGACATGGAGTCTTATTCTGTCACCCAGGCTAGAGCGCAGTGGCACGATCCCAGCACACTGCAACCTCCGCCTCCCAGGTTCAAGCGATTCTCCTGCCTCAGCCTCCTGAGTCGCTGGGACTACAGGCTTGCGCCACCACACCCAGCTAATTTTGTATTTTTAGTAGAGACAGGGTTTCAACATGTTAGCCAGGCTTGTCTGAAACTCCCGACCTCAGGTGATCCGCCTGTCTCGGCCTCCCAAAGTGCTGTGATTACAGGCAGGAGCCACTGTGCCTGGCCTCGTCTCTGCTTTTTTTTTTAAGTCAGAGTTTTGCACTTGTTGCCCAGAGTGGAGTGCAATTGTGCGATCTTGGCTAACCGCAACCTCCGCCTCCCAGGTTCAAGAGATTCTTCTGCCTCAGCCTCCCGAGTAGCTGGGATTACAAGCATGTGCCACCACACCCAGCTGATTTTTTTTTAAGTAAAGATGGGGTTTCTCCATGTTGGTCAGGCTGGTCTCAAACTCCTGACCTCAGGTGATCCACCCACCTGAGCCTCCCAAATTGTTGAGATTACAGGCGTGAGCCACCACACCCAGCTCTGTTCTTTTATTTGATGAATTTTCAACTGGTTGTTGAAATTAATTATGTAACTGACTTGAAATTTTAATGAGAGATTAAATAACTTGCCTATGTTCAAACAAAGAGTAAGTGGGGAGCTGGAATACAACTCCAGTTAGTCTGGCTCTAGAGTCTGCAGGCTTAACTGCTAGGCAATAGTTCTCTGTAAATTGAAAATACTTTTTAATTAACATGCAAATTTATTTTGAAAGTAATTTTTAGGCTGGGCTTGGTGGCTCATGCCTGTAATCCCAGGACTTTGGGAGGCCGAGGTGGGCGGATCACAAGGTCTAGAGTTTGAGACCAG